AGCTGCACCGGGTATGTGACAAGAGAATCGTACTGCGCCGCGCTGATGGGCGTCGCGTGCGACGTCGCGCGCACAAATGACCATGATCATATGCCGTAGATGGCGAGGAGCGAATGTGGTCGTAAATGTCTATAGTTTCTTATCCACGTGAAATCTGGTGCCCCAATCGAGAGGCTAACACGAGTTAAGGAAAAGCCGCGCTTATCGCCGTGCGTGGCGGAGCGGCAAATTACGATTCTCTTGGACGTCTTCGCAATCCCCCTGACGCGCCATCCTTAGCGGACAAGACTATACGCCTTTTCCAAAATTTCCTTCCTTTACCTAATAGCGTGAACTGCAGTATTGTAGTGCTCCATTTCTTAACCCAGGGAGAGATTGCTCACTTCCGTAGATCGTAGTTCTAGGTGCAAGACGACCGCCTTGTCAGCCACACGCTCAACCATAACCGAACGTGCTAGCAGTCTGCGCCCTCTCACTTCTGCTTGTTCTCTACCGCTGGATTTCGCGACGCTCTCAAGTGCCGAAAGTGTTACACTCGTACATCTGCCAGCCCTTTCTTCTCACATGTAAGGGGATCTGAGAGAACAGCTTGTCCTTGAAGTCAGCGCAGGCGACTGCCACTTGCAGGTTGTAAGGTTGAGAGGATCATAAGAGCATCTGGCTGTCAGGATACTAGTGTAGGAAAAAACCCTCTGTGCCCTCTGCATTAATCAGAGCATGCGCGCGCAAGGAGCTAAAAAATAGACCATGCCGTATGGCTCTCGAAATATGTCCGACAAAGACCATCGGCAAACAGCTGTAGAAAACGAAAGGTGAGATCGGAGACGGACAAGAAATCGTGATTTGCCGCTCCGCGCCGCCGGAGATCAGGCGACGTGTTAACTTAGCATCGGACTTCATGTAGACCCCGTCATCGTAGACATTCATGACTATTTTCGGTTCTGAATTGCCTGTTGTCGCCATCTACTACCTGGAACCATCGTCATTTGCGGCGCGACGTCGCACGCGACGCTCACCAGCGCGGAGAATTACGATTCTCTTGTCACATACCCGGTGCATCCAGCTCGCGGATGTGGAGCTAAGTTATTGTCGCTGAGCAGTGGCGCTTTTATTTAGCATTTTCGAGCTGCGTCAGTGGGACAGGCTCTGCTGTGAGCAAAGCGTTCTTGTGCACCGAAGGGTTTCTGCACGTCGGAAAATAGCGGAAGCTGTCTTCAATTTCACAAGTAGCTCATTCTCTCAAATATAGGAAATTCTTTATTGGCAGCACTCATTAAGACATTTTGATTGGGCGTTCACGGGTATGCTTTTTTCGTGAACATTATAAATGTACCATGAGCAAGGCATTCAAACAAAACATTCGGCAATGTCAGGATACAACTGGTATTGTATGTTAAGATAATCTCAACACTATCATAATGATTGCATCAAGCTGCTCTCACACTCGTCAATGTGCAAACGCGAAAAATGAGTACCGATTATGCGCGCGCGCGTAAAATCGATGTCCATTTCAAAAAACGTGCGGGTTGATAGAGTGTGTTGAGATGTGCGAACAGTTTGACTCGAAGGCAAGAAGGACTAGTAGCATGCACACAAAATCTTGTACTCTCAAATAAGCTTCTCGATAGTCTTCTGATGCTCATCCGGTTTGTACAGTAGGCCATTGTAAAGTCTGAAAGCGAAGGATTTTACGGCATTTTACGGTATATATTATAAATTAGGGGTGCATTCCAGGAGATCCAGGTTACCGTAGACTCAAAGAAAGCGGCAGTATCACCACGGCCAATGCCTAATTTTCTGAACCCTGAAGTCTGCATTATGTCGAGTTCAATGGCTAGGAAATACTGGGCTGGTTTTTCGCGACGCCGCAACGTGGATCTCCTGGGCTATGTTCGGAACAAGGCAGAG